AAAAAAAGAGGTGGTATCGCACAACAGCTGACATGATGGTATCGAGAAAAGGGACTCGGCATTGCGCTGGTGGCGGCCCGCCAGGCCAAGGTGCCGGTATCACTGATTGACACGTCGGACAGGTCGCTAGACAAGGGTCTCGCCTTTGCAGGTCAGTGGGGAAGAAGAGTTCCTCCATATAACATTTTTTTTTCTTCTTCATCGCAGTTCCGGATCCTCGGTCTTGCTGACGAAGTGGCTTTGAGAACAGACAAGCTCCTCGGCAAGGACGTCTCCAAGTCCAGAATTACGCAGGATGAGGCGGACGCGGCGCGTGCGCTGTTGAAGCCGAGCACCAAGCTCGAGGACCTGTCGTCGGTGGACTTTGTCATCGAGGCGGTGCCCGAGATACCGCAGCTCAAGTACGACATATTCAAGCAGCTAGCCCAGATATGCTCGGCGCACGCGATCCTGGCGACCAACACGTCGTCCATCTCCATCACCAAGATTGCGGCGGCGACGACGTCGGATCCGACGGACACGTCGGCGTCGTCGCGTGTGGTGTCGACGCACTTTATGAATCCGGTGCCGGTGCAGAAGGGCGTCGAGATCATCAGCGGGCTCCAGACGAGCAGGGAGACGGTCGACACGGCCGTCGAGTTCTGCAAGCGCCTGGGCAAGGTGACGAGCGTGTCGGCCGACTCGCCCGGGTTCCTGGCCAACCGCATACTGATGCCCTACATCAACGAGGCCGTCATCTGCCTCGAGACGGGCGTCGGGGACCGCGACTCGATCGACGCCATCATGAAGAACGGCACAAACGTCCCCATGGGTCCCCTCCAGCTAGCTGACTTCATCGGCATCGACACGTGCCTGGCCATCATGAAGGTCCTTCACGAGGAGATGGGAGACTCCAAGTACCGTCCCAGCGTGCTCATGACCAAGATGGTCGACGCTGGCTGGCTTGGCAAGAAGAGCGGTAAAGGTTTCTACGAGTATCAGTAGAAAGGGAGGGAGGGGCGAAGGGCATGGCTGATTCATCAAATGAAGAGGAGCTTTGGTTGAGCGCGGAAAATATAGCGTAGATAACGGAACGTCCTCTTCTTCTTCTCTACTTCTTTCTCTGCCTATCTGTGGGGTATCTCTGTTCATAAAAAGAAGGCTGAGCATCGTCATAATCAATATTGCCTCAAAAAGAAGGCTGAGCATCATATTATTACTAGCACGATCTACTACTAATAATACCAACAAGTATCTCTCTATCAACTAATAAATCATACTAGCTAGTACATATAGTACGACTAATACTAGTAGTAAAAAGGCCCCCCCCCTCTTTTCATCCAATCTGTGTCCTACGTTGCATACAAGACTATAGAAACTGTCGAATATAAGATGGATCTTCAGTGGGGAGGGGGGGGGGGCATGGTCGGCAGTCGATTG